TCCTCCTCCCCACTCTTCCCCTCCCTACTCTTCCCCCTCCCCTCCTCCCCTCTTCCCCTTCCATCCCCGTCCTCTCCCCCTCTCCTCTCCTCTCCTCTCCCCGTCTCCTCTCCCCCCCTCTCTCTCTCTCTCCCCCCTCCTACTTTCTCAACTCTCATCCCCATGGCCTGAATAAACTTTATTCTATGCTATACTGTGGCTGGTCCCTCAGGAGGAAGGGATACCTCATCATAGACCCATGGAGACACCTCCTTCCCCCACACTGATGACACCTCCACAAAAACATATTCATTCTCCCCTCCTCTTTATATAAAATAAACAAAAATAATTCTTATGTCTAAGTTAACATTGAAGTTTTATTTAGATAAACCTAATCAATATTTTATCTTCTATTCTTGTACCTACAATAAATAACTCCTTCCTCTTTCAACCTTTAGTTAACTGTTTTGTGGTATAAAGGAATATATTCCTAAATAGTAAATCTTTATGCTTGCTTTCCATCTAGGGCAATTAGCTTGTAACACGTGAAGAATTACAAAGTCCCAATTACAGCTTTCATATTACAGAAAGGTCTAACTGCCATCTTCATTATAAATGGATTAATAATTACTAGAATAATTTTAGGAATTATTATAGAATCATCATCAAGAATTAAGAAACCATCTATTTGTATCGCATCACTACAAGATAGTACATCTTTGTTGATCTGCAGAAAATATGCCTAATAGGGTGGGCCAATGCCCAGGCATTGTTAGATTAATTTAGTAATGACAGGAAAGGCATATCAATATCAAAAATCAATCCTGAGATTTGCCCTTTGGGCCTTGCCTCTAAGGGTTCATTCATTGCAGTTCCAGAGCAAACCATCTCTGGAAAGTCACGCATTAGTCTTAGATGGCTCGCGACAACTTGTCTCATATTTTATAGATACATATTAAGGTAACATGTAATAATTAAGATAAAAGAGCTGATATCCAAAATAATGACTTTAGTTTGGGATTGTGCAAGGCTATGGCCAAAACAATTTCTCAAGTTGAAATAACATAGAAACATTACTTAGAATTAAACAATAAGGATTTAGATTTAGATTAGATTTAGATTTGGATTTAGATAAGCATTCCTGATGAAGAAAGAATGAGGAAATTAGTATTATACACAAACACTTTTAAGAAATAAAAAAAGTAAACTTATAACTTAATGCATAGGTAACATCTTCCTTAACTGTTTTAACTAATATTGAACAGACAGGGTTTATTATGAATCACCACAAACCAGTTCTTGTAGACCATAGAGCACCAAACTAAGGAATCATGGGGTGTTAGGCAACAAAGCATCTCTTCTTGTTTTCTCATTCTTTCACTTGTTTCTTACATTAACAAAGAGTGCTAAAAACAATATTAAATATCTCACAATGTGCTGGTTTCTCATAAAAAAACAGAGATCAAAACTAAGGGGCTTCCTGTGTCAATTTTACTACAATTTAGTTCTGGTACTGTGAAGAGACTTGGGTTAAGTATGGCCCAAGTGAAAATTTTCAGTCCTTTCTGCCTATCAGGTTTTTTGTTTGTGTGCATGTATTAGTGCTTGCATGTGTGTGTGTGTGTGTGTGTGTGTGTACATATTCTTGAAATTCACCTCAGAAGAATCTGTGAATCAGGGTGCAGATTAGAAGTCTATCTGTGTCTGAAGTGCTCCACCAAATGCTTTTTCACACAACCTAGATTTGTCCCTTGAGCATTGACTCCAAGGGTTCATTCATTGTAGTTCTGCAGCAACCCATCTCTGAAAAATCACCTGTTAGTCTTAGTCTTTGTTAGATGGCTCCTGACAACTTGTTTCATATTTTATAGTATATATTAATGCAACATATAGTAATTAAAAAAACAGCTGATATCCAAAATAATGTGAACACCATGATAACAGGCAATTTATCACATACTTTTAGTACATTAAGGAATGATATGTGAAAATGTGAACCACTTTTTAGTGTCAGATATTTAATTGAACCATACACAATCTGTCCTCAAATTGTTTTCAACATTAATTTAGCTATCAGTAGTCATTATAATTCGGTAGCAACAAATTATCTTTTTACTTATTTATGCATATATGTGGATATAGGTGTGTTTGTGTGCATATGTCGTCAGCAAGGTGATGGTGGTGGTGCTGGAATACAATTGTGAGTGTAGTAGAGGCTGTGGGCAGATATTAGGTATCTTCTTTAGTCATATTCCAACTTAATTATCTGAGCCAAAGCTTCTCACTGGACCTGTACTGAGGTCTGTCACCACTTTGTCTAGGCTGGCGGGCTGGCCAAAGAGCACCAGGAATCTATCTACCTGTTTCTAGTTCTCCAGGGTAGGGAGTGGTTTGAATCGCCATTCCAAAATGGCGCCTGGGGCTAACACCTGACTTCCTCATACACCCCTGAAGAAGCCACACCCACAGGCAATATTGCACAGGCTCACTGCTACGCGTAATCAGACCATCTGCTATGTAGGGCAACGTGGGATCTCGCGATACCAGCTATCCTATTGCATGGACCGACATGGCAGGCTCTGATTGGAGAAGGCAGAGGGATTTAAGGGAGGTGGAGGAGAGTCTAGAGGGCTTTTTGCTGAATGTAAAGGTTCCTGAATAAACTGTGTTGAGAAGAAGAACTCCGTGTTCATTGTCTTCTGTCTGCTGGTCAGATCGGGGAGCGACAAGTGGTGGCCTGTACGGGGACTTCAGAATTCATCGCAGTCAGGGCAGCTAGGTGGAAAGTTCCCAGGTAAGTGGGACAAGGGAAAGTTCCCAGGTAAGTGGGACAAGAGAAAGTTCCCAGGTAAGTAGGACAAGGGAAAGTTCTCTGTTCAGAGACTATAAGGTTCCCAGCATTGGGACAAGTCGCATCAAGGAGCTAGAAAAGGGTAGCAATACACTAGAGCAGTTAAAAGAAGAGTGATCTCAAAAGTCTGAAAATGGAGATAGTTCTGAAGAGGAAGAGGTCTCAGAGGATGAGTTAGAGAAGTTGGCACAGGATCTTGAGAAAACGAAACTGGAAGTAGAACCTACTGTGCCAGGGCTGTCTCGGCCACCCTCGTATGCTCCTACCGGAGACTCGGGACAGAGTTTTTGCCCAGAAGCTTGGAGGAAGCTTAGAGCTCAATGTTTCCCAATGTTCCTTAAGGGACCAAGAAAAGTGGTGATGGCTGCTATTTGCATTAATGGCTTAAACTGCTTCTTTAAATTTCCTGCCTGGATTTATACGGGTTAGGCAAGTATGTTCTCAGAAGCTATACATTCATTATCTGATACTTGTAACCAGGGTTTGCTAGCACTGGGTATCAGCAAGTCTGTTCAGACACCAGATACTTCTCACCCGTACGGCTTTTCAAATATGCGCTATATTTCCTCATTGATTAGTGGTGTTGGTATTTTTATGATGGGCGCAGGACTCTCTTGGTATCATGGAGTCATGGGATTGCTTCATCCTCAACCAATGGAATCCCTTCTATGGGCATATTGTATTTTAGCAGGATCTTTGGTGTCTGAAGGAGCGACACTTCTTGTTGCCATAAATGAACTTCATAGGAGTGCCCAGGCCAAGGGCACATCATTTTATATTTTCCTTTGCTATGCTTGCCCGAATGCCTTGTTATGTTCCTTGGCCTGTGGAAGCTCCTTCAGCTATGACATTATTTGGGCCTAGGAGAGATTTTGACATAGAGATGGCCCAATTAGGTTGCCAATGGAAACATTCTGGCTTGTGTGTTACAGAGTAATATTAATAGCCAACTTAAGGCGAGCATTTTGTTGTTAAAGCAAAGAGTTGATTTAGTGCATATCAAAATTTAGTTCCATATCAAAATGTAAGTCATGCTGCTAATCTTTCTAAGGAAATTTCCAAGTATCTTTCAGGAAATTGGTCTGTGGAATTGGATAAGAAGGTGAGAGAACTTCTCAAGTCGATTGTTCATATTAATTCAATTAGAGTGGATGTCTCCCTGGCCTCCGGACTGACTGAATAGATACAACAAGCAATGTCCCACCTTAAGGAATGGGCAGGTTTTGGAGGTTTAGCCCTGTGCCTATTACTGATCAGTGGCCTTGCCTGTTGGTGTATTTGCAAAAGGAGAAAGCAGCATGGCAGAGAACGGGCCTTGATAGTGCAGGTGTTTGCAGCCATGGAGATAGGACAGTCCCCTCAGGTGTGGCTAAGTTATCTTGGCAAAGCCTAAGGGCAAAATCCTATAGCACACAGGATGCGAGACTAAGTACTGCAAAGGTATCATGTGCCTTGAGGAGCATGTTTGATTGCATAAGGGTTGGTGTCCCAGGTCCCTTCTCCATGAAAAAGACACTGGGACAGGTCTGACATATATGCTTTACTGCTCAATGATGGGAGGCATCATGTCATCACAAGGTCTCCTTTTCCAAAACTTGGAGATCAAACCTCTACTCTCGCCTGTGTTGCTTTTAAAACAAAGAAGGGGGAACTGTAGGGCGCGATTTGAACCGCCTGGGGCTAACACCTGACTTCCTCATACGCCCCTGAAGAAGCCACACCCACAGGCAATATTGCACAGGCTCACTGCTATGCATAATCAGACCATCTGGTATGTAGGGCAATTGGCTATCCTTTCGCATGCACCGACATGGCAGGCTCTGATTGGAGAAGGCAGAGGGATTTAAGGGAGGTGGAGGAGAGGCTCGAGGGCTTTTTGCTGAATGTAAAGGTTCCTGAATAAACTGCGTTGAGAAGAATAACTCCGTGTTCATCGTCTTCTGTCTGATGGTCAGATAACTCCGTGTTCATCGTCTTCTGTCTGATGGTCAGATAAGGGAGCGACACTCCAGTGTTTGGATTATAGTTGTGCATCATTGCCCCCATCTTGTTCTATAGATTCTGGAGATCAAAATTCAGGCCTTTATGCTTATATAACAAGCATTCTACTGCCTGAGCCATAGACCAACATCAGCTTGTCTTTCTAAATAAACATGTATTTGACATCATATTGTATTAATGCAGTATATACATATTTGGGGTTACAATTTAATTTGTTTTTTTAAGGGATTCCTTTGATATTATAGAATAGTTTAATCTTGACATATAAATAAATAAGAATAAAAATTAAGGAATTCCTGTAAGGAATACATATCAAATTGATTTTAAAAAAATAGAGGCTGGAGAGATGGCTTAGTGGTTAAGAGCAATGACTGCTCTTCCAGAGGTCCTGAGTTCAATTCCCAGCAACCACATGGTGGCTCACAACCATCTGTAATGGGATCTAATGCCCTCTTCTGGTATGTCTGAAGACAGCTACAGTGTACTCATACACATAAAATAAATAACAAATAATTCTTTTAAAAAATGTTCGTGCTGGAGTGATTACAGTTCCAGATCTTAAGATAAACTACACACCCATAGCAATTAAAACCAATTTGGCAGTCCTCCCAAACAGGTATGTAGGCCAGAGGAACAAAATTGAAGACATGACATGAAAACACATAACAGCAGTCACTTAATATTTGACAAAGACAGAAAAGGCATACACTTGAAAAACGAAAACATCTTCCAAAAATAGTGATGAGAAAATAGGATGGTGAGATGGAAGGTACCCAGTTGGCAACAATATCAGCAGGACTCTGTACTGACTATGTTTTCTACTTCACACCAGACAGCTCTATAAGGACACATAGCAATAGTATGATTCTTGAGAGTTACCTGTTTAACTCCAACTGTGTGAGATCGAGAAAGGCTGAGCCCATAAAGTCATCTTGCAGTCCAAAATCATAGTCAAATACCTAAGAAGCCAAAGAGACAAAGCATTTCAAAATAATTTTGAAAACATTTAAATGAAACATACTGATTATAAAAACTGGTTATCTCTTCTACCCAAACAGCTGATATATATTTTTAAATTTTTGATCTTTTGTAGAGTTAGAGTTTCATAAAACATTCAAGTAAACTATATTTTATTTAATATTATTTATTGTGTCATTCTATTTGTATTAGCAATAGAAGTTTTACAAAAGGTGTAACAAAATCAATGAAATATAATAAACATTTTAACATATTGGAATCACAGCTTAAAATTTTTTTTTATTATCATAGACAAGATAGCATGATGCCTAGGACCAAAGTGATTTAGTGTGAGTCTCAACAAATATATCTTCTGTATTGGGCTATGGGTGGTTAAAAAATGACTCCAATTTATTATTCATATGTTTTAAGGTCATTAAAGTTAAATTCCTTGATATTATAGAATAGTTTAATTTTAACATTTCAAATAAATAAGGGTACAGATATTATGGTATCCTTATTTTGTAAAGTTATAGTAAGGATATATCAAACTAACCTTTTATTTTTTCAAAGAATCATTTGAGACAATGCTAATTAAAAATGAAAATGAAAAAAAGAAAGAATGAGAATGCTTCTTTCTCTGTCCACATAATCCATATATTTAAATGCTAAGATAGTAAAAAAAAATACATAGATAGGTATAGTTCAATGATGAGTGTTAATAGACACTAGTGAAAGGGACATGTGTGGCTCCTTAGAGACCAGAACAGTCTCTAAGGAGATGTTTTGTGTATAGAACTGATTTAAAAGAAGAAACAAATGTTACACTGATATAGGAAAGACACTCAAGTCAAAGGAAACAAGAGAAGGACTAATGTGTTTAATGATCAGCAAGAAGCCAATGACATTAAGTCAATATGAGACATGAGATGCTTGGGAAATGGATGGTTAGAGAGCTATCTCAATGCTTAGTTAGTTAAGACCCTACTTTAAAAAAAAAACTATATAAAGGAGAATTGCCTAACTTCTGACCATTTGCTGATTTTCCAGCTCATTTATTCTCTTAGCTGATGGTGACTGTACAGTTCAGTGTGCTGGGCAATATAATAAAAACTGAGGAAAGTGCGGCAGTGAGCAAAAATAACATCATTAATATTGATAGTTTAGTGAGGGAGACAAATGTTCAGCAAGAAATATATAGGTGATTTGTGACTATACATTTTTATGTGCTTTAAACAAGGCAACAACAACAACAATAATAACAGTTTGGGAAACTGAGGAAAGCATGTAAAATGAAACAAGCCATAAAGCTATCCAGAGAAGCTTAGAGCTATGTTGCCTAATCTTTTTAAATAGAAAATGTTTGAGCACTGGAATAAATACAAAAGGATACGTCTCTGAATGGATGACTCAGATTGAGGATATGAGACCGTGAGTCAGAAAGGACTAGTAGCCCAGCGTAACAGCCAGCTCAGTAAGGGGAGCTAAGTCTTGAGTCTATTAGTCTTTTCACCTAGTGCAGATGTGCTTCAACTAAAAACAACACAGCCAAATGTGCAAGAAACATATTTCCAAACAAAAAGTTGAATACTTTGCATTACAAAAGGATTCTCAGATGTGAAGAGTCACAGGGGAATTTATTTAAATGGTTAGAATATTCCTGATATCTCTTTTATTATTCAATTTGCAATCATTTGATTTATATACAAACTTTCAGGGTGTATAAATTGTAGAAAGCACAGTACTTCTGTAGCAGATATTCTTGAGCAATTACACATCCAAGATTCTATGATCTGCTCTGAGGCATATCATATGAATACACAGCATATCTTTAGCATAGGCTACTTCTCTACTTGCAGGTGGCCACAGTAGTGCTTTTATAACATACAAACATTAGGGCAATTCCTTCTGAAATCTCATAATTATTATTTCTCAAGGATGTAAGCTTGTGGACAAGATAAGTGACATAGAAGATGGGAAACAGTATAGTGACTTGTTATATATAGACAATATAGAAAGTTATTAGGCTCTCTCCCAAACAAAACATAAACATGGGAAAAATGTAAGCATTTATTATTGAAATCATTAGCTTTGATACTTGGTTCTAAGTTCTACAAATTTATTTGACAGAGGGAGTATCTTAAAATAGAGCATAAAAGATAGAATAAAGTAGGAAAAGTATGTCTCAGTACAGCATTGACAACAACAACAACAAATGTTTACTCAGCAATTATTGGAAGTTAGGTCCTGTTCTAACATTGAATTGACTCAAATTTTTAAGCAAATTTCACAGTCCAGTTAGCAAGATATTGAAAATGTTTATTTATCATCAAATTTGAGGGCTAGGAAAAACAAAACTCAAATCTTGTTTTGAATTTCAAAGATGGAATGTATTTAAACTCAACATGTATAACATGGGCAGGTGACCCTGAGGAAAGCATTGGGAATTCAAAAATCGATGACTTTATAGAACTCTGTCTATTGAGGCATCTCCATTCTGAGTTGAAGACATTATGTGTCATTAGGTAGAATCGGGTTTTGTGATGCTTTTGATTGTTTAAAACAATAAGTATTTTACAATGAAGAATAAATTTATTTAACATCTTAATCCAATTATCAACCATGAAAAATTGCTCAGAGTGTGATTCAGTGAAAGTTCTTTTGAACACTAGTCATAAAACACAACACACTTGTCAGCGTGAATTTGTCAGTTCAAGTGACCAAATGTTCATAAGTAATTATGGTTTCAGGGAAAATTAGACTTGACAGTTCAAATAATTTATATCTTCATCCATTTATTTATTTAAAAAAAGAGTGAATTATTACAGTGGGCCAAGTTCTAATATACATAGTTGAAATGTATGTAGCAATGAAAGCAAATGCTCGACTTCTTGAAGCTTCTGTGGTGGTGGATTGATGAACCAAACATGTAATAAATATTCGTATCTAGTACTACTGAGTAAAGGAGCAAGAGAGTTCAGGGAGTGATATCCTGGGGAGGTTTCACAATGGAGGGGCAAAGAACAAAATCTCTCAATGTTAGTTGCTCCTATGGGTTAACAACCTGTTGACCTGAACAGGTCCTCAAGAGTTGAGTGATTCTTTATATTCACATCCAGCCACTATGCAAGCATGAGTTGTTTTGTAATTTATTCTCACCAAGACTCACTGATGCATACATATGGGGCAGCAAATACCCCAAGCCTGTTTACATACAGATAGGGCAGCACATGCCCATGCCTGT